TCGGTTTGGAATCTGGGTTTTTGAGCGACTCCCCTAGGTGAACTACCAGTGGTTCACTAACCCTGTTATAGCCCTCTCACTTTGATAAAAAAAAACCTGCCATGAGAAGGCAGTGAGTAGAGCTTCATCAGCAGAGGCTGTTTGAGACGCTTGGTGGCATGGGAGAATCTCGCGAGGTGCCAGGGCAGTGTGACCAGCCGCAACCTAAGACACCCACCCCCAACCATACAAAGGTTTTCGGAGGCGTAGAATATATATATATATATATATATATATATATATATATACCGTAATGCGGTTACTGATGAACGGACGACCAATGGAAGGGGCTGTTATCGTGTGGTGGCTGTGAGCAGTCATTCCCTAAAATAAGGAATCGCTCTAAGCCGCCTCTGATGGTTTGGTCACGTGTTGCGTTTGCCCGTCCATCGTCTGCCTTTCCGTGTAATCTTCGCACATTCTGAGCAAGGCTGAAAGAGACATCGCGGCGGTTAGTGCATGGCATGGCGTAGAGTTTTGAAGAAGCTTGTTTCTATCCTAGCTTCGGTTGGTGTATCCCGCCTTCCAGATTGAGGCCAAAAGGTATGGGGGTTGTCGTTGATCAAAGACACTAAGTGATATGACCCAAAATAAAAGTGTGGCGAAAATGCTGTGCGGTCGGCCTGTTGAAATCACGTGCTCCGTAAAAAAACGACAAACTAACACAAATATCAAGCGTGTACAATGAGAAGCGAAAAATCGTTATTCTTGTTATCTACTGTTATTATTTATTCCGTTTCAGTATCCGGACCCCTCCGCCCCCTGTTGGCACCATGCTTACTTACAAGTCGGTGATGCATCACATCGGTGCCAAATCCCTTAGCGTCTTCAGTCAACAACAGTCTGAGTCTTGGAATGCCCTCATTTAAATCCTGCTCCGAACTCAGTGTCTTCAAACCTCTATGCGAAATCATAGCTTGACAACACCTGGACCGATGTATGCAAATAAGACACGATACAGCAGACATTGTCCAGATATGCTTAAGACATGCATCACGCAGCACAATGGGCTGTTCTAGTTTATCTGAAGACTATCTAACCCTATTTTGTCTGATCTCATTATTGCTCGTGAGACGTTTCCACCATACACTGATGATACTGCTGAAACAACAACGGTTGTCGGAAATAAATAATGGTTCATTATCATTAGGTGCCATACACACCCGCTGAACCTTGATATATATCAGATGGACAAGCCTACCCTAACTAGGTGTTGATAGAGCTCATCTGCGCCTCCACAAGCTATTAAGCAACTCCTGCCAATCTTCCAACAGGACTTTGCCCCTTGGGGCTGAATAGCACACGGCATGCTGACCAACCATCGAATACCAATCGGTTCAGCGCGTCTGGCCCATATATTTCCACCGAATAGGGTAAAATCATCGACTTAATCCAAGCCTATCTCCGGGATGGCGTTCGACGCCAGAGTTCGTTATGCCGAGCAGCGCTTTTTGAAGGACGTCAATGGCAAAGTTGAAGTTACCCAGTTACTCGCTCCTAGTCAGGAGTCATAATGAATGCCCTCGGGGAATAGTCGTCGCTGGATGTATAAATGTGTCTAAGTCTTGAGGAATTTAAACTGATAAATTCAGCAAAATGAAAGTGCATATCCTAGTTTTCTCTGCAGATTAGATAGACTAGCTGTCACAAAGTTGAGGAGTTACTAACTGATATTCGTGATTTTTAGACTTGATTCACTTATCTTTTTCATAGTTTACTGTCTTTTCCACTTCATCTACTCTGCTGTAACTTTGCTACCAATTAGAACGAACAAATAAAGCAGATAAAAATGTTTTTTTTCAAGGTAAATCTGTTTTTGTGAGATAGGCATTCTGTTTATACTGTACCCTATCTGCGCTTTCTCTGCAGGATACCGCTGGACAAGAGCGATACCGAACCATCACGACGGCTTACTATCGCGGTGCCATGGGATTCATTCTTATGTACGATATAACAAACGAGGAGTCGTTCAACGCTGTTCAAGATTGGTAAGTCCATTGTCCTTTTCTGTTTTGAGTCTCCGTCGGGACTGAGGTGGTCCAAATAGCAGTTGAACGTTGCGCGTGTTGGAGTGGTGTTGCAATGGACAATGTGTGTTTGTATTTCTGGTAAAAAGCTTTATGAGAACAACCATCAACTGAATTTGCATAATAGAGTGAAGTAAACAAGAGCGCAGCTAACAACTTTTATTACAGAATGTTAGCAAATGTGGCAGTTGGTAGTTCTTTCATTCGTTAATAATGAGTGAATGATCTACAAAACGAGCATAAGGTAGGTAGTGTTGCTCGTGTAAGAGAGGGGAAGTTTTGTATAGGGAATGGTAGCTGTAATGTCTTTGACTTAAAAAAACTCGTTTTGTAAACAATGTTCCGCTTCTGAACGTAACCTTTCGGACGACTAATCTCTCGGGTTTTAAAATGTTTGTGACAACATTAACTGGACCAGCTGCTGATTCTGGATAAAGTTCCTGGGACATACAAATAGAAGTGGAATCCGTAGCTTTCGGGATAGAAAATATTGAGCAGAACAACCAGGGGGTGGGGGGGGGGACAGAACACAAATTAATGTGAGAAATATTTGGAAATACCAGGCTTTTGGCGTTTAACTGCTCTGGAAAGTTACTTCCTGAACTTCAGTGTGAACATTGTTGATGTGATGCACCATGATACATTGTGATAAAGGGTTGTGCCGATGTACTTTACTGTTGCGGTTTTGGCAAAAAGATAACCGGAAACGATAAGGAATGATAGAAAGTTGTAATAGTTGCAGTACCAAGTGCCTCATGTCAGCCTTAAGGGGAATACCAATGCATTGCGAAACATACAACTCGAGCAAATGAGATGAGCATCCACGGAAAGTGTTATCATCAGTGGCCTACCTGCATCATAATAAGTAGTATATAAATGAGCAAAATTTCCCTGAAAGTAAACGGCCAGTTTCGCGGTTCTTACCGCTCATCAGGTATACATGCCCGATAGTCTTTTGTCTTTTCATTCATTTACCCAGGAAGTGTTTTCTTTGTCACAGTAACCTCATTTGCAACACCAGGTGGGAACAGCTGTTTCAGGACCACTCTATTGATGAATCAATACTATGATTGGATGTCATGTAAATGGGCTAGATGCTACTAACCGCAACAAACGCAAATGGAGCTTTATGGAATAGAATAAAGTAATTAATATATGAATGACTGGACACAATTTCCTTGGAGGCACAGGACCGGATATATATTTGATAATAAGTAGTATGTGAATGACCAGACGAAATTTCCCTGGAAGCACACGACTGGTTTCGCGGTTCTTGCTGCTCGTCGGGCATGCGTATCCGCTACTCTTGTGCCAGTTCATTCATATACTTGTACCCAGGAAGTGTATTTTCGTCACAATAACCTTGTTTGGCATACCGGTTGACGATCAAGTCACGTTGGTTGTGGTTAGTAGCATCTAACCCACTTACGAAAACATGGAATCGTAGCATTGATTCTTCATTGGACTGGCTCTGAAAGAGCTGTTTATCCAATGGTCACCTGGTGTTGCAAACAAGGTTATTGTGACGAATATATATATATATATATATATATATATATATCAGTTTCCACACACCACCCGCTGCCTTGTGGGTCAGGCTTTGGCTAACCGAAGGCTCCGATTGTAAATTCACCTCTATCAACCTGGGCAGCCTGGCAGTTTTCCGCCCACCAACAAATCATGGAACTTTCTTTTTTTTACAGATTATTATACTGTGATTGGTTTGGCACGGTCTGGATTCAGACATGTGCGGAGTACAATATAGCACTCATCCGTCTCGGTCACTGGGGGTTGACTATCGTTCCTTGAGTTCAAATAGTTTTCTCACTAGCAAGCTGCTGTTGCTGATTTCTGGGAATGAGGATGAGTGGGTTTCAAATTTCGCTTCCAATCTGCCAGTTGTCACGAAAATCGAACTAGCTATTCACCTCTGAAAGGTTATAAAAGAGTCAATGTACATACCAGACTTATGGTCAGCTATCAGTGTGAATAATATTGACCAAAATACGGCAATATTACTATTCGATGTCCTGTTCCATTTAGTTTTCGTTTTCAGTTTGTTCAACCGTCAACCATGCACACTTTCATGCGGTGGTTTCGGTTGCTGTCTTTTGGTTGCCCATTTAGAATAAAGGGTAGAAGAAAAATGGGAAAGTTGAGGGTAGAGTCAAAGAGAAGATGGAGAATTCCAGTAGACTACGGTTGCAAAAAATTGAGAAAAGGCACGAGCGCCACTCAGACATATCATTCTGTGTCCCTAACCATTGATTACAATGATCACGATGTCCTCAGCCAGGGAGCCTAAGGCGACTTGTGTAACCGAGTCTCTTGGCGAGGCTTTTTATACCCCGAATTCCAGGTCTTAGTTTGACCAAGCTTGGCTATTTTCCACCCACTACCTGCATCGGCAAACATCGCGCGCCTATTTGATGACATGCGCAACACATGTTCCAATCGGCGCAATCTGAGAGCAATCACTTACTCCCGGTGGACGACCGCGAATACCTAGCCCCTCCCTCCAGTCGGATTTCCCCACCACACTCGTGCAATGCAGCGTAGACAGCATTGTGTTTGAACATCGACAGTCTATCTTTGTCCTGTTTCCGTAATGGCCAAATCTCTGTGCCGTATAGCAAAACTGGCCGAACTGCTACAGCACGCACTCGGCCCGTCATGGACAGTCAAATGTCTTCAGTTGGCAAATACCAATTCAGCCTTGTGTATGTCAGCCGGCACTTCGTTGGTGCTGTATCCACCGGGTGAGACGTAGCTGCCTTGTCGGTTTGCTCTATTAATTTCCGAGTTAAAGTGAAACTGAGAGCTGTTCCATATACATATATACAAAAACACTTCAAAGTGGAACTGTTTTGGGGCTAAATGAACACGAATTGAGACAGCCGTGAAATATTGCATCGTAAGTAGGGGATGTTTTAATCAGGGGACAAATGAATTTGTCTGGCGAGGGTCAATATGACCTTTAAACCTCTATCAGTGCTATTTTGAGTTCTCGGTTGAATCTAATCTGCTCTAATTTATGAGTTTCCAGCAACATGGTTTGACCTTAGATGCCAGAGGGACAAGTCATTGTTGCTTTACTTGTGGTTGGTTGTGCCTCAGAGACGAGAAGATTTCTGGATTTCTGTTGATTAATGGTTATATCTACCTTGACCTCAGGGGACCTTGTGAGTTGGTACGCATTATTTAACACCGATTCTGATGTGGTGTAGCAACTGTAGGCGAATCAATCACAACAGTGCTTTAGCGCTCATAGGTCCATCACACATCGATCGGTACTGAGTCGAACTTGTGAATCCGATACTTACCCCTGTCCCCCTTCCCGCGCACCATATCCACGCGTCTATGTATAAATTTGCACAGAAAAAATATTTAAAAACAACTGCACCAACAATAAATGTTTATTTAGATGTATATCTTTCCGGGATTAAACACAACTAAGTCCGGATTTTCATGAAATCTTGTCAGAGAAAGGACAACCCAAGATCCGGGGTTTTCCCACAGATGCACTCAAAACAAGCACCGGAGGAGGAGGAGATTAGATAGTACAGAGGATGAGAACAGTCAGCATACATAGTATACGTGGATCTTTCACAGTTTTTCTGTCGCACACATTTGTGTGATAAACAGCAGACAGGGTGGACCCCATAGTCACGAAGACCTGGTGTTCAGTGCTGGAAACCGGCAACCTAAGCCCCGGGACTTGAAGTGGTGAAACACATAAGAACCAGCTATGTTAGGCGTGGTACTGAACCGACCGGCAGCAAAGCCACCTATCACCAAAGTTGGGTGGCGGTGGTGGGGCTGGAACCTCGTACCGTAGTGCCCGAAGCAGGCCAGTGACATGACTTAACCACTGCGAAACCACAGGGTTGAGTTAAATATACTGTATGAAGTGTTCAAGAGGTTTGGGATCACATTAAAAAAACATGTGAGATCTACAGGTTCCTAATTTGTAAACCATTAGCGAGAGTGTGGAAAATGAAGGTTTGAACAAAACGTTCCGTGTTGTTAAAAGCCATTTCCGTAAATCGTGATGGTCCATAGCTATAATTGGTGGTTGAAGTAGGGACCTCGCGCAATCATGATATGAAGTGGGCCACTGTCCTGCTACTTACTAAAGCTCCCCGCAGGTATCATATCTGATGAAAATTCCGAATGACAATTGTNTGTGATAAGTGGGACTTTAAAACAAATTCTGCCCTCCGAAGGTTGATTTAAGATGGCAACGCATGGTAATTGTTTTTGCGGTTCACAAAATCAATAAAGTAGGGTGAACTAAATTAACTCATACTCTGCATTGCCTATTCATAGATTACGCTGGTTTGGATGTGTTGTGCATGTCACCAAATAGGTTGCCGCGGCGCGCGATGTTTGTTGTGGCACGAAGCAGTTGGAAAAAGGTCAAGGGAGGTCAAACTGAGACCTGGCATGAAGGTATGAAACCCTAACCAGGACACTGGGTCACATAGGTCCCGCTAGGCCCCCTGGATGGGGATCCCAAGATCATGGTAACCGGTGATTAGAGACACCGAGTGATATGGCTGGGTGTCGCAAACAGTGGCGTTGTTGCGTCTAATCAATATTCTTACAACTCCAGTCTACGTGTATTCTCTATCTTCCCCTTGAATTTGCTCTTAACTTTTCAATATTCGCATTGCTCTTTTATCCAAATGGGCGGCCAGAAGAGAGCAACCGAAGCCGGCGCATGGACCAGCATAGTTAATTGTTGTAAAAACCGAACTGAACGTTGTTTGTGATGCTACTCCTCTTCGAAACGATATTTGTGTTGCCATTTCAAAGAGATTCTAACTGTAGCTTGCAAAATGCAACTTCTTTCAGACGTCTAAACTAGCTCAAATGATACCGCGGATCTCTTACTTGTTTGCTTGTCTGGTCGCTTAATTCTGCCACACTTATTTATTCTCACTGTGGATCACTGAAAGATGGATTATCTTTTCCCACAAAGACACGTGAGTTTGTTCTAGCGAATATTCGCTTCCTTCCCCCCCCCCCTCCTCATTTAGCTACTGAATACGACCACACGGGCAACGGTAATGATGATGATGATGTCAATGATAACTTTTAGTGTTGACCTGTCGAAAACCCGTATTTCGCACGTTGAAAACGGCTGTAATTGCTCAAAGTTTGAGGCCTAATTGGTCTTGTTGTTGCAGACTGTAAATTGAATCCAGCTGCCCCCCCCCGGAAGATGGATTGCTTTCTTTAATCCAGATCGGAGGGAAGGGATTTCGCTTTGGTCGTTTCTTTTTGTTTGTTGTCACGAGGAGCACCGAAAAATTGTGCACTGACGGGATTGTGTCAGACAAAACACATTCACCAATTCCATTACTGCTACCGTTCAATTTTGCACGACAATCGAGCAACTTTTAAGTCAAGTCAAGTCAAGGAACGGCTTTAATTCGCCCCATGGGGGATGAAGATTCAGCTACAACACAATCACTCTTCTGTGGAAATGGCATGGTAAAATAAAAAAGGATGATGATGCGCTGCATANATTAGGTAAAGTAAAGTAAAGTTTGTGCTTAAGAATCTCAGTGATAAGATCGGCGTTAGTAAGAAACCGTGCCAAATACGGTATTACAGAAGACTTATATGTTGTGGTGCGTGCAGCTATATTCTTATACTTGGAGCGAGTGCTATATGTAGAGATACACTGACTGAGATGAGAGTACAGTGGGTGAGATAGGTCTAGTAGTATTCTGGTAGAAAGTTTCTGGCAAGCCTAAAAGTGTTGACACAGTATTGAAAATCGGTTCTCGTAGCTCGGGTGAACTAAACTATATTTCGCCTGTTCGCCGAGCTTGGCCATTTGCAAATGTTTCATCACCAGCCGAGGTGACATCATCAGTGCTTGTGAAATAGTCTAAAAGTGCTGTGAAGTGATAAACTGCACATGTTCGCGAGATATACCACTGTATCGACGTACGTGTTTGATGGATGTGCGTACGAGTTGGAACTCTGATTAAAAGACCCGGAAAAATTGCTGGTGATGCATAAAGCCAGCGGGGAAAGATACAAGAGAAGACAAAAGATTTTATTTACTGATTTGGGGTAGGTGGCATTTTCGAACGAATAATGTAAAAAGTGAGTTTCCTGAATTTTTGACATGTCTCAATGATATGAGGAGACCAAGAAAGATTACGGAAAATGTTGACTCCTAGGTATTTGACGGAACGTGCTGTGGAGACTTGTTCTCCATTGATAATGACATGCTGACAAGAGTTCATCACATCAACGTATTAGTTACCCTTCGGCAAATAAAATAAGACATCTTTACCTTTGGATGGATTCCTTTCAAGGTTGTATTGTAAAGACCAGTCGATGAGCAGTGAAGTACTTTGCATAAGTTTGGGGCACACAGAGGAATTCGAAAACTCCACGCCATGCACATCATCGGCATACTTAATGAACAAACAATCATCAAAAGGCATTGAAGGAATATAGGTTGTGAAGAAGACGAGAGAGAGAATAGCACCTTGAGGAAATTGAGTAGAGGGTAAAAGTGAAGAGTTGTGACCCTTATATTTAGTAAACTGTAATTAATGGTTGAAATCATTACTTAGCAGACTGGTAAGCTCCGGCTAAGTACCCTTCTCAGAGAGAGAGAAAGTGTGTGTGCTTGTGTGAAGAAGTTTGGGCCTATCACCGCAATTGGAGGCGTCACTAATCAAAAAAACACCCGAACAGCTGTACATTTTCCGTCCAAGGAAGAAGAAAAACAATAAATGAGGTATGCCAACACCGGATATTGTGTACCGAGATTATTTTTGAATGTACTAGAGATTTCACGTTCTCAATGGGGTTTCGTTGAATTTCGACCGCTTTTGTTGTGTTACGTGGATCGAAAAACTTTGCTCGAATACGCACACAAAACCCGACCTCCAAACAAACTTTTCTGTTCCATTTGTTTGAGATGATTGCTTTGCCAGAGTCTAGAGTTTTCGAAACACCCCTGGGTATATCTAACTCATTCAATTATGAGATTTTTACAACAATCAGTAACTTGAAGATTTTTCTTGTGGCTCAAAATATCAACAGGTGGCAAAGTGGATTTCATCTTCATTGAAATTCCATCCTGTGAGATTTTTTATTTAGTGAGTTCGTTCCGTTGTTCTAAACCGTTAGGTTCAGATACTTGACATTCGTTTCTTGTACTGTCTCCAAGTTCAACCTATCCTTGCGTTCTGTGTAGTCCTTCAGTCTGGTACAGGCTTGTTGAAAGATGCTTGTCCGTGCTTTGTCGGAAGTGTGTGTGTGTGTGTGTGTAACAAGTCATGCAATGCGTGTGAAATTTGTGGAAAACTAGTCTGATTAACTTGGGTTTCAATAAAGTCCAACTATAAACGATGATGATACTTTGGTGCACGCAGACTATATAGCTAACTCCCTCCTAGGATATGTGCATATCCACGTTGGTCGTTCTTAATGAACATTCCAAATTTTGTGCCACAGATCCTAGTAAAGCGAGTCCGGCCGTGCTCTGATCTGAATGTTCACCACAGCTAAACTCATGGACAGTTAAGATGCTATTCACACTTCATTCATTTCTGTTGTTCTTGCGTGTAACCACGGTCAGCCCTTGTTCCGCATAGTGCTATACAAACACTAGCCGTCGAACTGCACGAAACTCTCGGTGGTTCAGTTTACAGTTAACAGTTTTTACAACCATTAACCGTGCTCTTTCGTTTGCCGGTTTTGATTGCTGTTCATTTGGATCAAAATGTAGCAGGACGATTGGATTGTTAAGAGCAGAGTCAAAGTGAGAGAATTCACATAGACTAAGGTTGCAAGAATAATGAGTAGATGAACGCAATACCTAGACATATCATTGTCTAAACACCGGTTATCATGGATTTCGGATTCCCCATCTCGGGAGCCTAACGGGACCCAGTCTCTTGGCAAGGATTTTCATATCCTTATTCCAGGTGTTCCCCTTCCGGTGGTATCAACATGGAACAGGGATTAGTATATTTTTACCCGATCAAACGAGTAATACTAATTCTGTGAAATAGTATCGAACCTTCTGTAATGCGTCGTTTGTTTTGCGTACCGTTTTTGTATTCATTTCTAACGAGGGTTATTCTTTTTGGCAGTAAACACCAAATTGCTTTTGAGAATACTGTAATCTTTGCATAGAACCATAAATTCCACCAACTGATTTTTTGACTATTTGCTCTCGTTTACAAACTGGCAAAAATATTTCTTTTTCACGTGGTATCCTGGACCATAACTTTTTGACGAACCTGTGAAAGGTAATTTCTGCTTTCCGTGGCAATGAGTAAACCAGACTGATTTCGAATATCAATAGAAACAGAAATAAAATGACAGAAATCAATTGTACAACCAGCTAATCATTCACGTATTGTTTCTGTGCGGGTTAGTTATTTTTTGTTTCAAACAGTCCCACAACCCGCATTTGTTTTCTACCCTCATTTCCGTGTTCTCACACTTGCCCATAGGGTCACACAAATCAAAACTTATTCTTGGGACAATGCTCAAGTGGTACTGGTTGGTAACAAATGTGATCTGGCCAACGATCGTGCGGTTTCTGTCGACTGGGGTCGTCGATTAGCGCAACAATTGGGTAAGTTTTATTGCACTAGTTACTGTTCCTAATAAACAGTTTGCTCCCAATGTGACAGAATGCGAATAATTTCAAAATCCAATTCGAATTGTCCTTTTAATAGGTTATGGTGGTGGTAGTGGCTTGTAACCACCCACCCACTCCTACCCGTCTTTTGTTCCTCCACGTCAATGTGATAAGACATGTGCGTTTCTCAATTGCAGACCTGAGTGTTAAAACATTGTGGGGCCTATGAACCATACAGTTACAAGGGACTCACTTCACTTGAATATTTTAGAAGGGGTGAGCACTACCGTAAACCTACGGCCAGCGCAACTGTATGGTATCGGGTGCTTGAATAAGTTGTATATAGGAAAAGGGCTACCTAAAAGTGGTTGACCCGGAATAGATGGTCATTGCTATCAGTACGCGAAACCGGAAAACTTTGTGTCATTCTCCGTCTCTCTCGTGTATTGGTCATTCGATCCGATTGTGCGAGAAATCGTGTGGGACCAGGACGCTAACCATTTTGTAAGTATTTTTAACTTCAGTCAGTAAACAGTTGCAGAAACTCAGTGTGACGATGTCAAAGGGTGGTGCGGATTTTAGCTTGGCAAGCGATCTTTATATTTATATGTATAGACGCTTGGTCGTGTGGAAGCATTTCGCGAGGTGCAAGGGAAGGATGATCTGCCGCAACTTTAGTTAACCATCCCCGACTATACTGAGGCTTTCGGAGCCACCGGTTTCTATCACTGAACAACAGGTCGTCCTGCCTATGGAGTTCACCCCGTCTGCTGTTCATCACACTGGTATGTAACAAAAAAATCATGATGGTGATAAAGATGAGAGTGAGAGCCTAACAGAGAGATATGGAACTGCTCCGAACGAACGCTTTCTTGTCCAACAGCACGATATGATTTCATTTGATCCACTCACTGGTCAGATTGGAATCCATAACACCAACAAGTCGGTTCAGCCTATGCGAGTTTACCAATACTACAATCTGCGTTTTGTCGTTTTATTTCATCGGTGTACCTCTTATCTGTGCACGCAAGCTATTGACAGTCGACCGTATAGCTCCAAAGTAAGGTTTTATGTCCCACATCAAAGATTTCCTGTTCAAACCCCGACAAGGTTGCACACTATCGAGTTCCCTTAGGAAAGAGCCATCTTTTCAATGCGCTTTATCGCCCATTACTCATGTTTTGACTCTATTTAACCCATCTTGACCGAATTCGGACGATTGACTTTTTTGGGNTTTTTTGGGGTGGTGGGTGGGTGGGTGGGGATTTGCTTTTGTTTGAGGATGAATCGGTTTTGTGGAACAATCCACGCAGATTCCGAAAAGTATGATAGCAAATTGTAGCCTTAGTGATATTCCGTTTTCTTTTTGTCTTCCGGAATGCCTCCAAATTCTTATTTAGTATCGGGCTAACCTAGAATAAATCCCGATACTTTCGCCGGGCATTTATAGCTTCTTGTTTCGGAGAGGGTGCGCTTTCTAGGTGAACTTCGCCATATCCTCGGTCACTACCAATTATGCCGGTAAGCAATGTGCAACTTTTCGGGGTGAGCCACCTGAATGGGCTTGATCTTTTCTCTGCCACCCGGGGCACACTCCTGTCGGCCTTCAGCTCCACTTTTATTATCCTACCGGTAGCAAACTTCAATAATAATTCCGTAATTGTTTTCGCATCCCAGACTGTATTGAATAGTGGAGAAGGATGGGGTAAATCGATACGGAGTGGTGTATGTGTGCTTCCTTTCTGCAATTGCATAAGTACTTGTGCCCTGACGCGGACCCATATTGTCTTCCAGGAACACATGCAGTTACCCAAACACTGTTCCCTTTAGCATTTCATACTTGAGCCGGATACGGAAAAGGGAGTTTTGTGTCTTTTACAACTACTCCACATGCGCAGTTAGCCCCGTTTTCATTAAAACAAAATTCGTTTAAAAAGAACCAACTCACTCTTTGTGGACCATCGTAAAATATGTCACTTCTGATTTATTGGTGACTGGTTCAATCACTCAATCAATCAGGTCTCCAGTTCGATCGTTTTGCACAATCGTTGTTCTCTTTTGTCCTCAACCTGAGGTCACGTGTTTGTCTCTAATTCCTCAAGTTCTACCAATTTCGTGTCAGCATCGTTCTTGACAGCTCTTTCACTAACATAACTGTTTTTATTCACTTATTGATATTCACAAGGGATAACTTTTTGTGATTTACGGTTATGACCCGCATGGTTGTCAACCAGTCAGAAGTCTATTTATGTGGAAGGTAGTCTTAAACTTATATATATATATATATATATATATGTATCAGTTTCCACACACCACCCGCTGCCTTGTGGGTCAGGCTTTGGCCAACCGAACGATTTAGTTTAGTTTGTATCGACCCTGTTTATCTGGTTAGGAAAACAGGCATTTTCGGAGCGTTGCTCTTAGAATATCCCAGAAATGCTTTTTCCATCGAACCACTTTGAACAGCATTCAACAAATGATGGGTTGGATTGGAAATAAAAGCGCGCCGTGCAACGGACCACCCAAAGTGAATGAATGAACTATGTAATAATCAATTCCTATCAGATTAAATTTAGCTTATTGTTTTTATTGCAATGTTTTGGTGCGAACCTGGGACCAACTGTCCGGTCTGTTGCTCTGTGCTGTGCTAGTGGGGCCGACCTGGACGCAAATCAGGTCTATCATCAAACAATGCCTGTTGGCTTTTCGATACAGACAACCTTGTGTATTGTTCTCCATCTCCTAATCATCATCATCATAATTCTATGCTTAGGTTTGGAATTTTTCGAAGCTTCCGCCAAAGACGATATCAATGTTAAACAAGTGTTTGAACGTTTGGTCGATTTGATATGTGAGAAAATGTCGGACAATTTGGAGAACAATCCTTCGATTGCCGGTGCCGCGCAAAAAGGTAAGTCGCCGACGAAAATTTTGATACAACATGCAAATGACCATGCATGACCAAATGATTACAAGAAATCCAGGGTCATCGGTTGCAGAACGTCTCATGGCAATAAGACACTCAGTTGACCCCAGTTCGTCTTTCAGATCACTATTACGTGATCGCAATGCCAAACTTTTGGCGGTTAGTGAAGCAC